TTATTATTATTATTTTAAAAAAAATTATTATTGGCATCTCAAAAGAAGAATTTCAAGACAATGACGTGGTATATTATTATAACTGATTGCTAGAAGTGCCGACAGTTTATGAGCTCAGGGCAAGGAATAATGTCAAAAGATCATCCACAGGCCATAATACGATTTATAGGTATTGAGCCCTTCATCCAAACCTCCACTACAACTTTTCTATCTTGTGTTTACGCACGTATTAAGCAAATGCTAGAAGTATTTTTTATTATTCACTGTCTTATTTTCCGGTTTTCGTCTTTACGTCTAGTCATGCTCATCCAACTATTTTCAGTTAAGTGGAACTCGTATTCAACGAAGTCGTCGGGCCTGACCTTCAATTTCGGTGAATCCGAGTGTTCGTAAGAACAAACATGCGGTTTCTGTGTTTATAATTAGAGGCATCGAGCAAGTAATGTATACTGTACTCGACGTTCTCGGTCAAAAGTAGTTTAGTTTCAAATGAGAGGCATTTTCGTTTGATTTGATGCCATATCGAAGAAACGCTGGAAAATTTCACTGCACTCTACCAAGCATACAGAGTGCGAAAGGGTAGACTCGTTTAAATGCACGCCTGTGTTATGTATCGTCTATACGGCTAAGTTTGATTCACAGCTGAGCGAGCAATTCATTTAGCTGATTTATGTAAAGATTAGCTTATCATTGTAATATTGATCAGGAGGAGGGGGAAATAACTGTGACGCTTTTGTATCTCTACTGACATTCCACGCCCGGACCACTTGTGCCCCCCCCCCCTCTCCCAGATACACTGACACACTCGGCTGGCACCGACACACGCTGCTATAAGACATGTGTGCATGCTAGCAACGTATGTTTTGGTATGAAAGAAGACAACTGATTGGTCGCAAAAGATATGAACAAAAGGCTAGGCCTATGGGAATAATAGTTTACGATGCAGGTGCCGTAGATGTTTTCCAGGATTAGATAAGGTTCGTTGCTGTAGAAAAAAATGAGCGAAGCCACGTCTGCGGGGACTTTTCCCCCTTCAGGTGACTTCGTTGAATGCAAACTTGGCTTGCTCATTTATGTGTTCGTTGATACCGAGTTTTTAAATTGATTTTTATGAATAAAACAAAATCGGGAATCCAACTTCTCTCGTTGAACGAGTTCCACTGTATAAAACAAAGACGTCATATTATTGTCCATTGCACCTAGGTTAAATGTCTGTTAATGAAACACTACATTGAATACATTGTATATTATTGCATGACAAACGGAAATCCGGGGTCATCCCCCCCCCCGTACCCCTCCCCCAAATCATGAAAAAAAAACCCACGGCTTTACAAATCTACTTTGGCAAAATGAGCAGACCATGTACTTTCTCTATCTCTCTGCAGGTATCTGTTCGCTGGCATCGACATGGGCACTCACATACTGGTGCAGCTCACTATCATTCTGATGATCTTTGTGTTAAAAGTACAGCAAAAGAGAGCAAAGAGGAAATTCCTCGTCACAGAAAACCCAAAAGAACACAACTAACTTTAACACTTTAAGGTAACTCAATGTCATAGTGAACCCGATAACTTCGCAAAGTTATACGTATTTTGGTTGAATACTAAGCTAATGCGATAGGATGAGTTTGAATTATTTTATGCAGAGTCGCCCTGGAACGCCAATTTTATGGTTACAGTATTTAAAAAATACATGTAATGATATTTTGTTCCTCCTCGGTGACTTGGAGCGCTTTGTGAGTCTCCGTGAGTGTAGAGGACAACAGGGCGGATCGTGGGTTCTCAGATGGCTCATTCAGCTGAATCAAGGGGGGCAGCTTTATGTTTTATATCTCCATCGACTCAATTTAGATCGTTAAAGAGTCCAGCTGTATCGACTCTGTCTCTAAGATCCATTCCGGGCCAAGTGGCAAACAGAAACCCAGGAGACATGCAGTAGGGTTAAACAACAACAACAACAACAACAACAACAACAACAACAACAACAACAACAACAACAACAACAACAACAAAACCAAACAGACACCCCCCCAAAACTTTGCACCTTTTTTCTGAATAATTCGCCCAAACATTGTTCTAGAATCCTGTAATTTAGAACACACGTAATTCATTCAAAAGGAGTTTGTTTGACATCAAATTCATGAAGGTGAAACTTGTTTCTGAAAAAAAGGAAATGGCTTAACAACGCCTCCTCCCCCCCTTCCAATCGTAAAATGCACCCATGTATGTTGTAAACAAAGTCATGAACCAATTCGATTTCTTTATATTTTCTTCATTTTCTTTTTAACATTTAATTTTCCATCCCTGTAACATTTTAAGAAAACTTCATTTCTCTCACAGAATTAGAAGAACTAACTTTTTTATTCTAGAATTCTTAGAACCAGTGCTTTGCGTGTCCTCCAATGGACTCAAAACAGTTTAACGTGTTGTTCTAATGCCTAGTACTAGTGGAGGCAGAGCACACAAGGGCCTGCCAAACAATGAAAGCTTCAAACCACACACGCTGCACACTTTGCATCACCTAGTGTCTTTTAGATATAATAGGTGCGGG